AATTAATTTTGTGTTTGTTATTTTTATATAGAATTAAAATTTTCGAAATAATGAAGCATCTGCGCTTTTATTCGATCACCTGCGTATTATTTCGAATACGCCCATATGCGATTCAAAAAAACTCTATTATTACTATTCTACGTATAAATTTCGTTGATACGTATGAGGTGCGCGTTATTTCGAAAGTTAAAATACTTGTCTATTTTTAGAGAGCTCAATTTTAGAAATTGCTCCCTATTTCGAGAAATTAACGGATAACACGTAGCTGTGTAAGTACGTACGTACGTACGAATGTAAGTAGGTATCAGTATGACAATCTTATAATATATACGTATATAATATATATATCTATATATATTGTAATATATATATATATATATATATATTGTAATATATATATATATATATATATATTGTAATATATATATATATAATATATATATCTAATATACATATAGTAACACTGAATTTAAAAAAATGTACTAGGCAAATCGAATGCCTAAATTAATTTTTATACGATCACATGATATAAATTAATAAAGACCTAACGAAAACTTAGTGACAACCTATTTCACGATTGTTGGCCAGAATTATAGGTAAAAAAAAAAACGCATTAACGTTAGTTAATGACTCAATGACAGTAAATACAGTATCATCTGATTACACGCATAGAATAAATAAAAGAGCAAGTATTTTCGTTGTAGGACTTTGAAAAAACTTGTATTACTTGTCAACAGTTGACATACCTAATATTTTAAATTTGATGTACATGTGACATAGGACAAATTTTGAAAACAATAGGTATATGCAAAACCCATTATCATTCATTTTTAAAATATGTTTCATTTGATGTCATTACGTTTATTTTGTGCATCCAACACACTTTTTTTTACCACACACGGGACTTTTTATTTTTATACGTATATCGGCTTACTAAGAATATTTTTTAGTATGATCGTAGATTTTTTTATTAATGCATCACCCATAGAATGCAACGCAATATACAGTATATCAGTTTTTAACATTTAACATGTTACATTTTTTTTTTTTTTGACTACTCATACAGTAGGATGCAACGTATTTTTTTAATATTTAACATGTTACATTTTTGATAAATAATCCACCTTACATAATTTTTTAAGAAAGTTACCAATCAATAAAACGTGGCAATCAATGTCTTTTTAACATAGTTAATTAAGGCATAATCATATGGAAAACCTAAACATGATTTTCATTGTTAAAATCAATTTTTTTTTATATATGATGCATATATATACGTATACATAAATTAGATTTTTAGTAAAAATGATTTTAAAGAGATTTACTCATTAACTCGTATAATTATAGGATTATAAAATTCATAAAAGATCAAACATTTTTTTTAAAAAAAATATCCTTACATAACCTTAAAGATTAAAAAGTAGATAATATTATTTTGGACGGACCGGAATTGCCCGAAAGGAAAAGGATAATTCTATTAACCAGTCGGGATACGTATCATACAACTCATTTCCATAATTTAATTTTTTTTTTTTTATGCAGAGAAGTATGCAGAGAATTGTTTGTTTTTATATAAAAGCTTGTACAAAAGTTACAAAAAAGTTACAGAGCGGGTATTACATGTATGTATGTATGTATGTATGTTATGTATGATTTTTGTTACAAGATTTAACTAGGTAGTTAGTTTGATAAAAACTTGATGAAAATCGAGTATTTACATGAGTAATACCAGTTGCTGAATAATAAACCTGCTAATGCATGTTATGTAAATATTTGATAAATTGGAAGAACGAATAAGATTTACAGGGGTTGCCTTATTTAAAGTACGAATAGGATGCTTTGATTATCATAACCTATTATTAACCTAAAGAGAAGAACTTAAGAATTCTTTAAAGAATTTATATACGTACAAGTTACATATATATATATATATGTATATATATATAGATTTATTTATTTATTTAAATAACTGATGAATCAAGAATTTAGTAATTTGATACACGGAAATTTTTTGAATCGTATCGTATCATATATAATACGTAATATAATAATCATAAAAAATGAATCAAAATTTTTACAGCCAACGAGAATTACATTTTTCATTGACTTATCAGCATAGGCGCTTAAAATTTTTTTTTCGATGCTTTTGTATGATACTGCTTTTGCATGATGCTTTTGTATGTAATGTAAATCTAAATCTTGGTATATATAATATCCAATGAATCATAAATTATCATAAATTATCATAAGGTATGTCGTGTAATCCAATTTAATTAAGAGAAATTATTAAAAGCATGTTTATGAAAAAAATGATTCATCTCGTGTAAATTAAAAATTGATTTCCTTCGGTACTTTCCTGATAAAATTATTAATTGTGAATTACGCCTTGTTAATTACTTATTATTACAAAAGATTTTTCCTCATTTTATTTACTTTTATGGCAATTACCGTATACAGTGTATGCTAATAAAAACTCTGTTTAATAAATTTCAAAATAGAGTCAAGATTCTTATCATTTCTGATCAAAATGATCAAAAAAAATGATCAAAAACGATCAGAAATGATCCGAAATGATCAGAATGTGAATAATCTTTACATATATAATGAATCACGAAACTGACACGCGTTTATGTAACAAATTAATTATTGGAAAAGAAAAGAAAAATCATAAAATTGAAAATTTAAGGATCATTGCGCATGATGACCATTCATATAACGCGTTTTAAGTTTACAATCAATAATTGTAATTATCTTAAATCGGATATTTCATAGTCAAGTTTCGGTAAATAAAAATGGTTATATCCGAACAAAATATTTTTAATTCATGTGATTCATTTATCGTTGTAAAAAAATTACCGATTCTGCGGTAATACATAGTACGAAATTATTTTAAATAACGATAATAAATTTTTTAATTTTTTTTTTCTATTAATATGCTTAATGCTATTAATATTATTAATATTATTCTATTAATATATTAATTTACACATGTAGTGTACATACTTTCGTGCGTATCTTCGGTTAATAGTTAAAGTTATCTTTATGATATGTTACTAGTATGTTACTAGTATGTTACTAATAATTCAAAGGACAGAAAAACAAATGACCAAAATAATAAAACATCAAATTAGCCACATGTCAACAAAAATGCACTTCAACGTATAAACTGCATATACAGCATATATCGATATATCAGGTATATACTGTAATAACTTTAATTAATTAATTAAATTCATAACATTTATTTATTACTAAATACCTAATCGTAACTTTAAAAGGTTAACAGAATTTTTTTATTTTTTTTTGTTAATTTTGCTAATAAATAATACAAAGATTAATACAAAGATTAATACAAAGATAAATATATGTTAATAATATATATTAATAATATATACTAAACAATATATATTAATAATATATACTAAACAATATATATTAATAATATATACTAAACAATATATATTAATAATATATACTAAACAATATATATTAATAAAATCTTAAGAAATGATAAACATGCCAAAAATATTACAATTTTTTTTTTTTTGGTTTAACATAGATAGGGTTACGTTATCGCTATCGGTGATTAACATTAAACACTACATTTAGTTATAAACTAATATTTTTAAATATATTATGGTGATGATGATGGTGTAATTGTTTTTTGTTTAAATATTGTTTTAGGTATTTTCCATGTTCAGATTGTTCAGATTATCTAAGGACGAGACTACCCGAAAGTACTTTTTGACAAATTCCAAATCAAGTAAATTAAGTAAATCAAGTACATAGTTTTTTTAGGAATATTTAGGAATACTAGTTTTTTTTTTTTAATTAAACCTAACGATCTACTCTTGTATAGAGTTATATATTGTTTATTATTATTTACAGATATTTATGAAACACAAATAAAACATTGGCAAATAGAAAATTAGTGAAAGAAAGAAACGTATCACAATGAACACTAAAATGAATAGAAAGGGAATAGAGAGGGAAACATCGGATGTGACCTTGTATTTATTTTAAATCAAATTGTATCACTATTGATATAAAAATGTCTGATCATCTTTGCAATTTATATATCTCAAATAAATTTAACGTTTTTTAACTGGCAAGATTTTTTTGTGAAAAACGCCAAATCTCAACAATGACGAAACATTTGTAACGTTAAAAAGACCTTTTTTTTTCTTTTTACCACGACATTGAAATTGATAGGTAGTAGAAATTAGATGATGCAGAAATTTGTACGCATGATCGTTCATAAATGCGTTATTTGTATTACTTAATCTGATTAAAAAAGTAATTTAAGATTGGTTGGCTTTAACTTATTTTTACTTTATTATTGTTATTAACAAAAGAAAAAGGTTACGGCTGATGAATTATTGTTCATTATTAAAAATTATTTACAGCGTTTACACTATTAATTACTATTAATTGATATTAATTGATATTAATTGATACGTATTAATTGATATTAATTGAGATTTAAAAAAAGATTGATGATAGATAAACTTTTTTCTTTTGAAGATCCAATCTATATCTGATCTATTTAAAGTTTTATTAAGTAATTTGTAACAATATTATTACGTAACGTAGTACTGTTCTGTAGCTTATATACAATTATGCACGTGATTTACAGTTTTTTTTTGACACTTTTTTATTCAACTTTATTATTAAGTACGTATTAACTTTACGTACGTACGTACGTACTTTTGCTTACCTGTTACTTTACATACATGTAAATCAATTAGCTTCTTAAATATTCTCATAATCGATCTAATATTAAGGGGAAAAAATTGAGGCGCATAAATTTTACTTTATTATTTATTTGTTTACTTCAATTTTTAAAAAAAAACAAAAGTATTACAACCAATCATCGCGTAATTTTCTGTGGCGATTTGATTGATGCCGTGTGATCATGTTAAAAGGACAAATCATGTCTTGTAACTTGTTATTCGGACTCAACATTATTTGGGGTTCCCATAAATGTTCTTTTTTTCTTTTTAATCTTTTAGTAAGACGACAGAGCAACATTCCTGATAAGGTAAAGTTTCCTTACCTTCTCCTTTCCCTGTTTGATACTCAAGAACAATTAACTTCATTATTTCTGTATTTCGTTTTCGTTTAAACAAAACACTGTAGAAAAAAATTTCCACGCCACAAAAAAACTGTTTTTGAATCTTTTGAAATTTTAGAATTTGTGCTTACGATCTACTAATACCAGATACTGTTTATACTCTCATTGTTTTTTGAAATTGACGAAACATTCTAATTTTCCAAATATTCTTACGTACGTATATCTGTATATGCGAGAAAAAAAAGAGTTTTAAACTTTTCTCATATTTGGTATTGATCTACTTTTTTTTTATGCCAACTCCTTTTCACTAAACTTATTAGTCCGATTTTCAACTTTTATCCTTTCTTTGTGACTATTTATTCACTATTTATGGAAATTATGTGGCTAAAAGTTTATTAGGCACAATGCATAAAAGTACAATGGCAATTTTTATTTCCAAATTTGTCATTATATAACTTTAAATTTTCGTGTAGGGCTTCTAATTTTAATTACATTAATAATTCTAGGTTAGGATTATACTGTATATGATAAAAAAAATTTAAAAACAACTATTACAGCATTTACTATTCCAGTTATTAAGAAACATTACTATATACCTATTTGTTTCATCTTCTTGACCCCGGATTTACATTGCATTTGATTGATTACCGCCCTCACGATAATAATAATACCACGCTCCGACCACCATCTCTTTTAACCCTGGTTCGTTCCATACATGGTTAAATTAATCCAATTTTTGGCTTTTTTTACCGGTTTTTTCTTTTTTTCAGTACAATCGATCCAAAAAAAAGTTTAAAATACCGGATCGTTTAGGATGAGTCCGGTTTAACTATATTTTTCTCTCCGCCCAATACTATAAAAAAATATTTGTTATTTGAAAAAAAAAAAATATTCAATTGAACTATATAGGGAACGATTTTGTTTTATAAGTTATTTATTATATTACACCAATACGTAATTTCATAATAAAAACGCCAAGAAATTTTACCAATAGTATTTTATCTTTTTTATCGTTATGCAAATGCATTTAATGACTTTAAAACGGAGACACAAAATTCTCGGTATCAAGACGCAATGTTATGTTTGGTTTCAGTCATTTTTTAATACAGTAAATATTTGTCGCTTCGATTTGATTTGATATGATATATAAATTTCTCTATCATATCTTATCTTATTGTACTTATTATTATCTTACGATTCTACAAAAAAAAAATATATTTACGATGCTGTATATGCTGTATGATAAAATGATATAATTTTATAAATTTTTTTATAAATTTTTTATTATTTTAAAATTTCGATCTGCCTGCCCGACTTTCTTATTTTTTTTATTCTAAATTTCTCTGTGTTCAATTTTCACGTTAGATTTTATCCAAAATTAGAATCTTAAAATCATGTTGTACTTTTTCCGGTAATTAATAATTCTTCAAACTTGATAAACATGATGTTTCCCGACAATACAATCACCAAGAAATTGGTCTATTGTCATAATTTTGCAAATCATATACTATTATTCCATATTCGTGATTATTTCTCATGGAATTCGTGTACATCTAAATTATGGAACCAATTAAAATTTTCCTTTTTTTTTCGCCCGAATAACAAGCCGACTGTGTCCACGTCAACAAGGAGTTTTTTAAATGAACAGGAATGGTCAGTTGTTGACGTATGTAATACAATTTTAGATAAAAATACAAAAAAAGGGGTCTTTTTCAGGAGTATTTACCTTCTGCCATGGATTTCTTAAAATGACTAAAGAAGCAAATGGGATTGGATAATGAAAAATGAATGTATTAAAACGTTGTTAAAGTTTTTTTTTGAAAGCCTTGTTTTATCGTCATAATAATGTAAACTTTAAATTTCATCCACTCGGACAATATGAAATTCGGTGCTTTCCTAATCCATTTTTTTGGCAACGGCATCATCCGTATCACCGTACGTGACTCCTGCTTGGTGTTACCTACTACTTTTTACCTCTTGAACATACAGTACTGTACTGCTGTACTGCAGTAGTAGTAAAGATTATCATAATTTCTTTAATTCAAAAATCAAATTTAAATTTAATTGTTGTCTTTATCTTTACTATCGCTACGTATATATTTTAAAAGCAATTTGGTATTGTTTATTGCTAATTTTAAACATCCTATAAAATTATAATTCTTTAATTAACCAATTATAAACAATTATAATAAATTATTTTATATTATCTGAAATATAAATACTATAGTAATTTAAATTTATCTTTACAAAATAATCTTTATTATAAATATTTGTACTAGTTAAACTTATTAATAATTTTGCAAACTAAACTTGCAAATTTATATATCAAATTATATTACAAAAATATATTATTGTAAACACTTTTTGAAAATTTGTATAAAGCTAAATCTATAAAATATTAAGCTAAAAATTTTTTTAAATCTATATCTTTTAAATAAAAAAATTTTATATTATAATTTTTAAATTAAATTTAAATTTAATAATAAAAACCTCTATTAGGAAGCTACTGGAAATCAGATGATTTCTATCTCTTAAGAGGCTACCCCCACCTACTCACATTTGATATCTTATTAGTCAATTAAATTGTACAAAAAATTTATATATTAATTAATAAAATTTTTTAATATTATATAACTTTTGATCTACTAAACCAATTTAAATAATTTAACTACCAAAATGATCCTCTTAATGAGACAATTCTAACAAGTCTAAAAGTATCAAAATCTAATTACTAAATCCTAAGATTGATATAAATTTGTATACTATATACTATATATTACTATATATAGTATTATAATAAAATTTACTAAAAATTATCAAGCTTTAACAAACTTTAAAGTTATAAGTGTTGAGTAAACTATCTTTTATTTAAAGAAAATAATAATAATAATAATAATAAAATAACCAATTTGTATAATAGAATTTAAATTCAATAGCATTTTAAATACTATAAAAAGTTATTAATAGGCAATAAGGTTTGAGGAATTAAATCTATTAGTTAGTTTGTACAAATTAGACTTAGTAATTACTTGCTCTTTACAAGAATTCTTAGTCACTAAAACTTAGAAATATATCAGAAAAAGAAGTACTAACAACCAGACCATCAATAGCTATATGTAGCCTTTAAATTCTGAATAATATAAATTAGTATTTTGCCAAAATACTATTTCTAAAATTAGCTTTCACTTTATATTATTCTAAGAAAAAAAAAAATTTATTAAAAGAAAAAATAAAACATAAAACAAACAAAGAAAAGAAATAATTTTAATAATTGTCTGAAATAAAATGACAGACCTTTAATTTCTATATATAGTGATACAAAAGTTACTTTCTTGATGTATCGCATCTTAAAATATCAAAAAAGTCACTTTGCATTTTCCGTTTGTCCGCTATGATACAAAAGTTACTTTCTTGATGCATCAAATATTATTGTCTTTAGAATTAAGTGTTTTTAATAAAGAAAACTTTTTTTTACTAAATAAATATCTTTTCAAGCTTTAAGTAAAGTTGTAAAGGAGTTTCTTGTGATCAAATAGTAGTTAAACTGTTAAAATTAACTTGGTAGATCACGATATATAAGTACTTTAGTCTTTGCAACTATATGTTTCTTCTTTATAAATAAAAAAGAAAACATATAGTTGCGAAGACTAAAGTACTTATATCTCGTGATCTACTAGGCCAATTTTAACGTTTTAATTGCCATATTGATCGCAAGAAACTCCTCTACAACTTTATTTAGAGCTTGAAAAGATGTTTACTTAGTAAAGAAAAAAGTTTTCTTTGGAAAACTCCAGATTTCAAAAAGGCAAAATTTATATAGCAAAAAATTAAAATTGAGTTCTAGACAAACAATGCTATGTATTTACTTAGTAATATTAAAATAAGAATAGATAAGTATGATTTTATTAAAAGAAATTAAAATAACAAGAGAATTGTCTTTTTAGAAGAGCAAAAAGCTATTCTTTTTATAGCATTTTAGCCTAATATTTTATTGGTTTTAAAACTACCATGTGTTGCAGCAATATGCCAAAAAACTTAAAGAGAAAGTTTTAAGAACTCTTCAATAAATATCTAGAAAAGAAAAGAAATATTAGCTAAAATATATTACTCAAGGAATTCAAGAAGAATATTTTAAAAAAAAATTTATCTTCTCTAAAAAAAAACTGAAAGAAGAAAAAGAATAATAAGGATGTGTTCACAGAAACAAACCACATTATATATTTAAGAATATGCCAAAGAACTTAGAGAGAAAATTTTAAAAATCTTTCTATAAATATCTAAAAAAGAAAAAAATATTAGCTAAAATATATTACTTAAAGAATTCAAGAAGAATATTTAAAAAAAATTTATCTTCTCTGAAAAAAAACTAGAAGAAGGAAAAAAAGTAATAGCAATGCATTTATAAAAAAAAAAAACCACATTATATGTCCTGAGAATATGCCAAAGAACTTAGAGAGAAAGTTCTAAGAATCTTTTAATAAATGCCTAGAAGTAAAAGAATATTAGCTAAAATATATTACTTAAAAAATTCAAGAACAATATTTAAAAAAAAAATTTATCTTTTCTGAAAAAAAACTAGAAGAAGAAAAAAGTAATAGCAATACATCTACAAGAAAACAGAACACATCATATATTCCAAGAATATGCCAAAGAACTTAAAGAAAAAGTTCTAAGAACTTTTCAATAAATGCATTATTCAAGAAATTCAAAAAGAATATTTAAAAAAAAATTTTATTTTCTCTAAAAAAAAACTAAAAGGAAAGAGTAATAGCAATGTGTCTACATAGAAACAAAACACATTATATATTCCAAGAATATATTAAAGAACTTAGAGAAAAAGTTCTAAGAACTCTTTAATAAATGCCCAGAAAAAAAAGAATATTAACTAAAATATATTATTTAAGAAATTCAAAAACAATATTAAGGTGTAGTAACTTAGTGTAGTGGTTTAGTTATCACTCTCTCCAAGTGGCAAGTATAGAGTTCAAATTCCACAGACAACAAATTTTGGAAAATAGGCTTGCGTTATAGTTAATGGTTATCGATTATCAATTGAATCTTGAATTAAATTTGCAATCTCAATTGCACTATCTAGTAATAGAAGCTTTGGTGCAATAAATTTGAGGAACTGGAATAACTGAAAACCTATTTGGAAAGTTCCTAGTTAGAAGTAGCAGTAATCTTTGACAGTACTATATGAGGGCTGAATTTGAACTGGGGCCCAAGATTGGAGAACCAAATGACCAAGTTCTAATAGCGAAAGATACACTAGCTAAACTGCCAGGTTCTGTTATACCAGAGAAAAAGGGCATATACTTTGAAAGTATGGACCAAGATAAGGGTGTCTTTTAGACACCTAAAGCCTAAGCAGACTGACTCTTCTGAGTTGCTAACTAGAAGTAAGGAAGTAACTGATAGAGAATCTAGATAAGAAGATAGTTAGAATGTGGATACTGAGATTTGTTATAAATCTATACAAGAGCAGAAATAGATAACAAGTCTAATTAGGAAAGTTGTGGCTTGAGATATGAATCAGGTTATAGCAGCATTTATAAAGGGGTAGCTTGAGATATGAACTTGGTAATAGTAGCACAACAGGTACTAGTTAGATGCAGAAGTTTAATAGTTAGCTCTGACTCTGAGTGCATGAGTTAAGCTATAGCAGAAGGTTACTAAAGTTTGGGTAAATACATGGATAGAATATATACTCTAGCAAAAAGTTAGTCACTGGTTTTAGATTTGAGGCTTATAGTAAAAACTTCAATACAAAAACTTTAAACTTTTATTGTGCTAAAGTTTTTTAATAATTTTAAAAAATTTTTTTAACAAAGCTAATAAAACAAATCTCAAATTAAATATTTTACTTAGAAAATATATAGCTAAAATCAATATTTAAAATTTTATTGAAAAAATTTAAAATTTAAAAAAGTTTGCAGGCAAATTTGGCTGCAAAACAATTTAAGGGATATATTTATATTTTTTTTGCTTTTTTATATTATTCTTCATATTTTATATTTAAATTATACAAACATAATTGAATAAGTTACTTTATTTATTATATATATTTTCTATAAAATATATACATATATAATATATAAATTATTTAATAAAAAAAAAAATAGTAAAAAAAATATAAAGTAAAAGGGGTATTATGACACAGTACTAATTATGATACACACGTAATATCTCATGACTAGAGGTTATATCTGGTCAAAAAATAGGCATTCGAATATTTATTTGTTTAATTATTTTACTATTCGAATATTCATTAGAAAATCCCAATAAACATTTGAATATTCAATAAATATATTTATTAAATATTAATTTTATATGTGAAAAGCATATAAATTTTTTTTTTGTTTTTTTTTTAACTCTTTGACGGTCTTGCCAAAGCTCCTATATAACTTTATTTATTTAATCAATCACAGTAAAACTATTTTCAACTAAACTAAGTTTTTAAATTGCAAGCTTGACATCTACCGGCTGCATAAAATGTGTCCATTAATGACTCGTCACACTATCTTGTATACAAGTTGGATAGACCTTGTTAGCCTATCAAGAGCTAATTCCTTCAATTCTTCTTTTTTTACTAAGAGCAAAAGAAAGTAGTGATGTTGTACCAAACTACAAAACCACTAATTATTGAAACAAAAAAGAACTATATCTAAAAAAAACAAAATAAATGAAAAGAAAGTTTTAAGAGGAAATGAAAAAAGGAAGAAAAGAATATATAAAAAAAGAAAAACAAAGAGAAAAGCCCAAAAGGCTAACAAGGTAGGGTGCTACCTCTATCAAAAAGCAGCCAAGCAACCCGAAAGTTGCTACAAACAAAGAAAATACACTATTATAACCCATGCCAAGTTAAAGTAAAAATTATATAACAACTACAACCATTATATATCTCAATTGTACAGCCAAGCTTTAATGTAAATCTTCCAACTACTGACCAAATTCAGATACTTCTTTAACCTGAGACCCAATTCAAGTTATGTAAAGTACCTGATCCAAGTCACGTGGAGTAATGCTGTATCTTTTGATAAACAAGACATGTCAGTTGTAATATACCGAGTCCATCCGAATTTGGATGTAAACAATGCCAATCTTTTGGAGGGGGTAAGCCAAATTCCCACTTTTTGTCGAAATTTTTGGAAGAAAGGCAGGAAGTCGAAAATAAGTAATAGAGGAGTCACTTGAGATGAAAAAAGAGTGTAGCTTCAGAGCAATAAATAATTTGTTGTTTCTCTAGTATTTTTTTTCGAAGTAATGATCTAAAAGCTTCATTGACGATACCAGTTCTGATCTGCCCGCCACTAAGATTTTTTATACAAGGGCACTCCTGCCAGTTATCTTGTATAATAATGCTCTTGGCTTGCATGCCAAACGTCTCTTGTAGAGAAGTCCCCTGTAGTAGTAGGTTGACCTCTAGACAAACCACCAGTAGGCTACAAATTTTTCTATTTTTTGTTAGTGAGAATTTTGGTCCAAGTGATCGTCGAAAAGAGTACTTTGTAACTTTTTTTGAAGAGCATATAAATTTGAATATTCACTGAATATTTAATGAATATTTTTTGTAGTTTAGACATATTTGAATATTCACTAAATCCTTTTTGTAGCTTAGTATGATCTATACGTAACAATATATATGATATATAAATTTGAATATTCATATAGCTTAGGCTTTAATATAAAACTCTTTATTTGTAATGTCATATAAGATCTCTTAGAATACTAATACCAAAAAGACAGTATAGAGGCTTAAGTTTCTTTTAGCTTCTTTTAATAAGACTTGTATTAAATACTATACCCTTTTTATTATAATTAGATCACATTCTTTTATTATACTATATATATGTGATCTGAATATATTTAATAAGGCTTAAAGTAAATTATTTTTCTCTTATGTAATTATTTAATTGCTTGTAAATATTAAACATTATTTTATTAAATTGCATCGAAAATAGATTTTACCAATAATACTAGCACAAATTTCTTTTTAAAGCAAATATATACTTGTAGATGACTTAACTTTATTTATTTAATTTTAAGTATAATTTATTTATTTATAATAAATATATAATTTGTTTAATATATGATTTAAAACATAATTCTAACTATATAGTAAATATAATTTTATTCAAAAAATGTTCAATTTTTAATAATTGGTCTATGAAATTTAATACACAAAAAAAAATCTACTTAATAATAAGTTATAAAGACACATAATTATATAATTAATTATTTATCTCTTTTACTGTAAGATATTTGGTTTAATATAAATTTCATCAAGTTTATTATTATTTTGTTTTAAAAACAACATGTGTTCAAATAACTTAGGCTTTAACATTGTCTTTCTAATAGTCATCATATTATTTGTATTGCTGAAAAGTCGCTTACTTGAAGTTGAGGTTATAGGTATTGTGAGGTATTGTCTTGCAAGCTTGTTAAAAATAGAAAAGAAGATTTTTTGGAAATTTTACCAATTAAAGGATCTAACATATAATGGATTTTGGATAAAAAGAAGTAATGATTAAGCTTATTTAACTCTTCAGAAGCATCTTGTATAAAAACTGTTTTAAAAAATAATTTTTGATAAATCTGACACTGCCCTTCTTGATTGTCTTGATTTTTATAAGGATTAACTGGTTTATCAGATAGTATAGAATATTGATGAGAAGATTTAATATCATTATACTTATTATAAAGAGCAGTCTCAACTTGGCATTTCTGAGTTGATGCTGCAAATTTTAATTTTTTACATCTTGAATCAAGAAGGCAAGCAAGGAGTATATTACTGTCAAATAAGTTTCAATAATATAAAAATGCATTATATAATGTGCTTTTAATTTTTTGTTTTATATTTTTAATATTAGTAGGTATATTTATCTTGATTTTTCTTTTTTTAGTATCTTCTTTTTTCTCTTCTTTAGCATCAATAAATCCAATATTGTTATCAAATGTGAGATCATCTGTTTCAAAATCTACTTCACTTAATTTTTTATCAAAGTCAGAATTACTTAGATTTCTTATTAATGAAAAAATAGATAAGAGTATATAAGAAATTGTAATATATTTAAAACTACCAAGCTTTTCTGTAGTTTTAAAGAAAGGTTCTAAAATATCAACAAGTTTTCTTATTAAATCCTATTCATTTTTGGTTAATTAAATTTCTTTAATCTTTTTGCATCTCTTCAAGCTTCTGGAATACCAGTGATAGTTAATATTATTATGACAATATTGATTGTATTCTTAATTAGCAAAAGACGTTCCCAAGCTAAAAAAGATGAATTTTAATGGGTGGACACATCCATTTTTACACGAAGATAAGTAGAGATTTTTTTAATTATCTATTATAAAAAAATAATTTAGTTATTTGTATAGAGAATTAATTAAAAAATTACATTATATCTTTATCTAAAATCTTTAATATTTTTTGAGCTTCTTTGAGTCATTCATTTTACTTTGATGCTATAAAGAAGTTAATCAACTATTTAGCTCTTACTACAAGTACTTCAGCAGGCATTAGGCCTTTTTCGACAATGAGTTGCAAAGTGTGGACTATATATAAAATTCTTACAACATCAATTATTCTGTTAATTGCTACTTTCATATTACTTCTATTGTTACTTGTGATTGCATATACTTTTCTAGTAAGACCCCAATTAGCAATTGTATTTTCTAATATTTTTTTGAATAATATCAGCAGTATGTAAATATTTGACATAAGTTAAAGAAAGTAATATTTTATAAATTTTGAATTAAGAGTCAATCCATAAACAGGTAACACCAAGATACTCTTGTTTGTTGCAACTTGTCTACATGTCCATAGTAAGTGAACAAGTTATGACAGTATTTTGTAAATTGTTTAACATATTTTGAGTATACTAATTATACAATTTATAAATTATTTGTTTGATGCTTTTTTTATTAGGTATATTAAATATTGGATCCAATTCCTTTACGAACTCACAAAAAAATTGGCTTAATACAAGACTAATTGGTTAAGTACTACAAATAATAAATTTAATGAGACTCATAATAAGTTTATTATTTTTTAATTTACTATGAGGGTATATATTTTTTACAAAAAAGTCAATTTTTTTTTGTATCGTCTATGTAAAATAAAAAATTTTTTATTTAAAATTAATTATTAATTTAATTATTTATCAGTATTAAATATGTGGACCTAATAAAATTACTTGATTTTAGATATCAAGCAATATGATTAAATTCACACATTCGAATTTTCAATAGTTATTTATTACTTTGTTATTATTATCATTTTGTCCAGATAAACCAGGCCCATTTTGTGTAATATCATATAAATTTAAGAAATGAGATATTAAATTTGACATTAAGCTACTTGAAACTTTTAATTGTGAATTATAACTTTTATCTAAATCATTTAATATATTATAAATACCATATATAACTTCAATATTAATTTTTTTATTATCAAGATTTTGAACAGTTTTTATTGTTTTTTTTTCTTCAAAATATTTCTATACCCAGCTCTGTTTTCTTGAGCTACCCTTTTGACCTAATTTAGTTTTTTTGATAGTAGGTATATTAGAAGCTTCATTATCACTTTTTGCACTTGTACTTCTAGTTTCTAATACTGGGCTATTTGATCTTGTAATAGAGTCAGCAATTGATTCATCGTAGTGGTCTAGTCGTCACTCTCTCCAAGTGGCAGGTCTAGAGTTCAAATCCTACGGACGACGAAT